TTTTTTTTTTTTTTTTTTTTTTTTGGTTTTTTGAGTCAAGGTTTCTCTGTGTAGCCCTGGCTGTCCTGTCCTGGAACTCACTCTGTAGACCAGGCTGGCCTCGAACTCAGAAATCTGCTTGCCTATGCCTCCCAAGTGTTGGGATTAAAAGCTTGTGCCACCACCGCCCAGCCCAATTCATAAATTACATACTATTCTGAATAGTACAATGAAACCTGCTACCATCCCATTCCATCACCTGGGATGTGAACCATTCCCTTTATAACCAGGCTGTGTCAATAGCCATCTTAGCTTATCAAATGAATGTTATAGTTACCGCTGGGTTTCTGGTCAAGTAACTTCAAGAAACTTTTAAAACTTATATATTTAAGAAAAAAAAATGCCGGGCAGTGGTGGCGCATGCCTTTTATCCCAGCACTTGGGAGGCAGAGGCAGGTGATTTCTGAGTTTGAGGCCAGCCTGGTCTACAGAGTGAGTTCCAGGATAGCCAGAGCTATACAGAGAAACCCTGTCTCGAAAAAAGAAAAAGAAAAAGAAATATACTTTCAAGGCTGGAGTGATGGCCCAGCAGCACAGGCTGCTCTTCCAGAGGTTCTGAGTTCAATTCCCAGCAACTGCGTGGTAGCTCACAACCATATGTAATGGGATCCAATGCCCTCTTCTGATCTCTCTGAAGAGAACAGCAGTATACTTCATACATTAAAATAAAAGTCAATATATGTATTTTTGCAAGCTGTTTAGTAACTTTTATGTTAGTGATGGTCTCGAAGCTTTAGAGAAGTAATGTTGACATTTTGTTATGATAATTACATGGTATTTTGTTATGATAATTACATGGTATTTTGTTATTAGTTGTTGTCAGTATATAGAGGTCTATACTATTATTAGCTATCTACCAGTGGTCATGGTGCGTATTTCCTAGGGACAAGGGTTACTACAGAGTAGACCATTCTTTTGAGACTGAGTAGAAGACTATACGGTAGGTAGAGGAAAAGATGTCTGATCATTTATCTGATGAGAAAACATTTATAGATAAGGAAGTGCTAAAGAAATTTTAACAGACGGTTGTGAGGTCATGGCTGATTGTAGACAGAATGAAAGGACATACTCTCTGAAGGAAAAAATGGGTACTATATTTTATAAATATTGCCTGGATTTATTTATTGGGGAGATAGCAATGACTTTTTCAGTATCAGTCACATAGTAATCCTAAGTTACTGGATATAGATTTATCTTACTATCCAAAGGGTTGGCCTTTTATAAGCTTTAATTATTTGAATTAAGTTACTTTATCTAATATGATAAAAAATAGAGTACTCTTATAAATTAGTCATCACAGTATTTATATCCAGCTAATAGTTTTGTTTTACTCTTGTTTTTTTGTAGGCTTTGGTGAAGCATGTCCAGTCTAAAGGATATCCAAATGAACGCTTTGAACTCCTCACCAACTTCCCTCGGAGGAAGCTTTCTCATCTGGACTATGATATTACCTTACAAGAGGCTGGCCTCTGTCCTCAAGAGACTGTCTTTGTACAGGAAAGGAATTAACATCATGGCCTGACCTCTCTCAGCTTACCCCTTTTTCTCTTTTCCTGTGAGATACCATGTCACTAAGTATGCATCTTGGCTCATAGGACTATAGAGCCAGTGCTGGGCAAGCAAGTCACCTGCCTTTTCTTTTTCTCTTTCTGTCATTTGTCAGTCAGTCTCCTTCCTTCCCCCTTATCTCTGTCTTCTTTCTTCCTCCTTTTTCTCACTTTGTTCTTTCTTACCAAATGTGTTGACCAAATGGACGTGTAAGAATAAGAATAACATCTCTTCTAGAATTGGCAGCAGGAAATGTGTGTTCTAATAAGTGGTCTTTTGCATGACACCTTTTGGGGACCTAGTGATGTTACTACTTCCTCGACTCTGTTGACAAAGAATGGCTAGAATCAGAATTAAAAATAGACCCCATTTTTGGTAGGAAAAAGAAATTCTTTTAACATGCATTCTGTTCATGTAGGAAGATGTCATAATGAAACATCCAGGCTTTTGTTTACGTGGGGAAAGCATCCTTTATAATGTTGGTCATATTTAAAATTCCCCTCAAGGATTCCCATCTTCTAGTTACAAGCTATTTCCATGATGTGTGTTATTGGCAGAATCAGTGCTCAGTGTACTGTGTGTAGCACAGGGTGGCTTTCAATGTCCTAGCCTGAGACAGTTTCCTTTGTTATTTACTCTCTCAATTTTATTCCTCTTTCCAGTCCTAGGATGAAACTTTAGTAAGCATCTTGTGTCTGGGCTAGTAAGGTGCTTGCTGTTTTTGTCTTCAGAGCAAATTAGTTCCTTTGGCTCCATTGTCTGAGTCTAATGTATTCTGTAGAAAGGCAGGTGTTCAATAATCATGTAGTGCAATGGCTTTGTAATTGTAACCACTGTGGTTATTGATTGTCCTATGTGCTTAAGGCATACTTCAGTGTGTTCCAGGGGTGGGTGGGGTGGGGGGTTGGTGGGGACAAAAGCCTGCAGCTGAGAGTTGCTAAAGATGTTCTTTTGGTTAGAAATAGTGATTCGTTTTTTGTTTTTTGTTTTTTTTTTTTTTACCCTCAATTGGAATAATATCTAAAATGCTTTGATAACTAATTGACCTTAATTCCTCATGCTGTTTTATTTTAGAGAATATCAAAACTGAAAGTCTCTGAGAGGAAGACCTTCAAACTTGGTTCATACAACAACAGTTAGTAAGAGTAAGAGAGATTACTAGTAATTGCCAGATGTGAGGGTTTTTTTTTCTGCCAACAAAAATCACATTCAAATTGTATTTGGTGAAAGCTTTTTTCAGTATTATTTAGAATAGGCCACCTGAGTCTATATAGTACTGGTCATCAGCTTCACTGGATGCTCAGTTCTTTCCTTGAGCTTCACGTAGAGTTCCCAAGCAGGGCAGGTAATGACTTGGTGGGAAAATCAAAACTTTAAACTGCTTATAAAACTGTTTCTATAGAATGACTTATCTTGTCAGTTGAAGATTTTGAGTGATTCTTGAACCTATACACAATCTAAATTGTAATTACTCAGAAACCTTTGAATTCCTGTGTACTTGCAGATCTCTCTTGGCAACTAGGGGATTAAAGAGATAAGCTAAAGAGATGTGGTGTGTGGCTAGTGTACAGTGAGTCCTTTTGAATTAATGTTCTTACATTTTTTCCTAAGTCTGTGTAAGTGCTTATGTATAAGTATATAATTGTATAAATATTTATAAATATATTTATATAATTACAATTTCATTTATACCTTGAGTCAAAGTTCTCTCTTTTGATTGGTGACTGAATAATACCACTTTGGTGTTTTTCATAGTGCTTGAGGCTTAACCAACAGTTTGGATTTATTTAGCAAGCATGTTAATTCCTCAATTGTATCTCTGAACTTGAATAAAAACTGGCTGTCTGAGGAATAGACTCTCAGAGGCTTTAAAAAAACAAACAAACTAGTAATCAAGGTCAGCAGTCTAATGCTTCGGGAGCCACAGGGTAAAAGTGAGAGGGTATCCAGCTTTGCTAGGCTGGCACCATCTCCTCTGCTGGCACAGGCCCAGCCAACGCCCAAGTCAGCCAGAAATATGAAGTCAAGAATTTTCCCTTAGAGGACTCTGCTGCACCCTCTTATCCTGTTAGGTTAGGTTCTTTTTATGCAGTAAAATCTATCTTGAGAAACTGAGGCAGGATGTTCAGAAGTGAGAGGGTGTATACAGTTCTGTTTTATATGCTTAGCACTGGCAAATCCATTTATGAGAAACCAAAGTAAGATGGCCAAGTATATATGTGAGTTAAGAGAACACTGCATTGTGCATTTATCAAGCTTAGTCGGGATGTTCAGCTGTAGGGGACTTTATTTAATGTTGACAAGGAGTATGATTATGAGGGTTGGCCCATGGGAGGAAGGGTTATGTATTATACATGAGAGAAATAAGTGGGGGTATTGCCTTGCTTAAGAATTTAATCTGCATAAGGAGTTTGCCTTAGTTCTTCTGCAAGTTATTTTTCTTTCAAGGGGGAGCTTTCACTGAGCAGTCAGATGAGATCTGGGAGGTTAGTTAAATGTAGTGATTCCCTGTATGTAGTAGAAACAGCTCAAAGGTTGTTTTTTAAGTAAGGAGGAAAGGGACAAGATAGATTTGAGTGTCATATAGATGGAATGGAAACTTGTAGGGAAAGTGAAAGGGGCTCTGTGTGGACTTGGAGGAGAACTGTGCCAGGGGAAGTAGCAGCTAGCATGTGTGATGTGTACTCTGTGCGTTTCTTCCTTCAGTCTTCATATAGTCCCTACACAGTGTATATGCCTTCTACTCATTTAAAGTGTGGGAGAAAACTAGAATTCATACAGTGTGTTCAGTATCTAGAGTCTGTGCTTTACCTTGTGTGGTGTGTTGTCCTATGTCAGTTGGAGTCCATTTACTCTAAGGTCACATTATTATTGCTCTAAGATCATCTTACTATTATTTGGATTTATAAATTAAGGGTTTTTGTTTATTTAAAGATGGAAGAAGTAGTTGGGGTCAAGATTATGGGATTTGCACTACCCTACAAAAATCTTAATTATGCCATTTTAAAGAGAAGATACAATTATTTTTTTCTGATGGCTTATCCACAATAATTATTAAACAATCCTTTGTTTTTATATCGTGTTTTATCTTGTATCCAAATCTACTGTATTAGTGCTCAGTTGAGTCTGTAATCAAAAGTTGAAAATATTTTGAAAGCTAAGATCTGGTTTGACTGTTTTATCTAGTTAGGGAGTCATCTATATACAACAGCCAGAAGGTGAATTTTATCTCTTTCAGGATTAAACTGTTATTACAATAGGAACTTAGGAGAGAAGGGTAGTGTAAGTTAGGTGTACGTAGGGGTGTCTTCGAAAGAAAGGCAGATGATGGCAAGCATTGTAGCTCATTCTTTGGCTATTCTTCTTGTAAATACTAGATTTGAAGCATGAAGTCCATCAGTAAGGCAAGACCTTTGCCCAGGTACTAAAGGATTTTGAGCTCCAGTACTAAAAATCCCTTTAATTAGCAAGGATCTCACTTGAACACTTAAGAAAAATATCAGAGGGCTCCTGAAAAGCAAAGGCAAGATTTCTCTCCCTTGGTACAGTACATGGTGTTTGGTACTGAGATAAAGAGCCTGCCTGGTTGGGTCAGTGGATCCACTGTTGGGAACAGCTTTTCTTCCTCTGGATCTGAATTTCTTTTTTTCAAAAACAGAATTGGACTAGATTAGTAGTTCTTTGTCTTTTCCAGTCAGAGGACTTTTGATGTTTTTAAGTTTTGACATGAGTGGGGATGATAGGATCAACTACTAACAGAATTAACCTCATGGAGGAAGTGTAAATGTGTACCTGGGGTCACAGCCCTATCAAGAACTTATGTCCATTGTCTGCCCCAAAATTTTAAGCATTGTTATTTTGTATCCTCAGACTAATTAAAAGTATAAAAATATACTTGTCAATCAGTCATTTGAGTTTTTTTTCCCCTGTATTCAAGTATTTTTTGCCCAGTCTTTTACAGACCTCACTGTGATGACTGAAATCCCTCAGTACAATACTTACAGATCTAGTGATCTTTAAACAGCCAATTACTTTTTTTAAAATTTAATATTGTAAGCCTAATGAATTTTAAAAATGACTTAAACGAAATGAATGCAGAACAGATAATGTCTCCAATACTGGAGCTGTATTTGTGTGCTTTAAGCTAAGGACTGACAGTTACAAAGCTGAATTGTGTGAGTTGTCAAGTTCATACTTGGTTTGGGCAGATGTGATTTCTATCAAGTTGATGTTTAAAAATAGTGCTTGTCCCATAGAATGGATCTTTGTCTCACTTTTTAGAGATCTTTCATTTATTTTCTTGATAGTAAGTTACAGAGTACAAAATTATGAATAATGCCTTCTGTAAAACTAAAACTTGAAAAGTAATGAGAGTAGGAAGAGCCAGCCCTTCAAGGGCTCACACTTCTTCAGCAGCTTAAGCCTTAATGAGTAGGCTGCTTCTAGGCAGTCACTCTGTCACCTGAGTTACTCCCCAGTCCTTAATGGACACCTAAAGGCCCTGTGAGCAGGGAGCAAATTCCAGCATCACTGGTTTGCCTTACTTTACATTTCGGTTCTTTACTGTGAAACTTAAAGAGTACCTAGTCCACATAGAGTGGGACAAGAATGTTCTTCAGATCTCAAAATAACCAAAGAGTACCATTCTAATATATTGATCTCTCGTATAATACAGAGATTTGAATATTTCAGTGATGACTAGTTGGATTTTAGACTCACCTTTGTGTCAGTTCTGGTAATGAGACAGCTTAGATTAAAGATACTTGGCTTGTTTATTTAAGAACAGAGGTATTAAGGAACTCAGGTGGCCAGATTACTGCATATGATGAAACCCTGAAGTAGACCATCAGTTTAATCCTTGTTGCCCTTTTGGGGGTAGGGAGTGTCTTTTATTTTGTTTTCTAACATTCTTACATAGTTCAGGCTAACCTCTCCTTTCTTCTCTCCAGTCCCCCCCCCCCCCACACACACAAGTTTATGTAGTCCTGGTTGTCCTGGATCAGGCTGGCCTCTTAAGTGACTGTGTGTTGTTAGTTGAACATGACCTTGAACCTCTGGGTCCTCCTTGGGTTAAAGTGAGCCACATGTCTGTCTCTTCTTCATTCTTAACTCCTCCAAAATTAGTCATGATATTTAATATACTTAAGTATGTTTTTAAAATTATATTTCTAAGCCTTAATGTATATTTCTCATTTTTTATAAATTAATACAGAACAGAATATTTTGAGGCGAACATCATTTTTACAACTCACTTCTTTCCTAAGAAGAATTCTTGTTGGGCTGGAGAGATGGCTCAGTGGTTAAGAGCACTGACTGCACTTCCAGAGGTCCTGAGTTCAAATCCCAGCAACCACATGGTGGCTCACAACCATCTGTAATGAGATCTGATGCCCTCTTCTGGTGTGTCTGAAGACAGCTACAGTGTATTCATATATAATAAATAAATAAATCTTTAAAAAAAAAAAAAAAGAATTCTTGTTCCAAGTAAGAGGATGGCTGGCTCTGTGATAATCCTCCAAGGTAGTTGGTTTATTTAATTACAGATTTTTGGTTGCTCTAACTGAATCTCACCATTATCATAAGCATTTTGGTTTTTTTAAAAGCACAACTCCTGAACCAGTACTTAGTTTAAAGCATACTCAGTAGCCCAGACTGGCCTAGAGCTCACTAGCCCTAGGTTGACCTTGAGCTCTTCTGGTATTAAAGGTGTAGGCAAGCCTCTACACCTGGTTTAATCTGATTAATTTTGAGTATGTTTTTAATATGGCATGTATGCCATATGATCCCAAAATAAACTTGGATAATCCATATAAACTACTTTATTAAGCATAGTGAAGAAGTTATAAAAATTTGCTTGTGGGCCCAGAGTTAGCTTTTAGCT